TTAACTAACAAAATTTCGGATCAAACTACAAGAAAAGTTAAGGTTATAAAAAATCCAATCTATTTAAGCATTATATTTTTTTTAATCACAATAATCTTAAAATAACTTGATTAGATAAAGATCCTTTGATTTGTAAGAAAGATCTCAACCATTGATTTGACACATCTTCTTTGGCAACTATACTCTTCATTTTGTAATTGCATTGCTTCATTGGACAATATTGAAGAGTATGCTTGGATTCTCTATAATATAAGTGCAAAACTTCTTGACAACAATGAGTCTTTTTTTGCTTAGTAAGAGATTTAAAACATATTGTATCAATTTATATAGGCTTTGGCCTAAACAAGTAAGCTTTTAAAAACTTAGAGGATGTCATTATGGCTTGATTTATACTTCTCTAACCAAATCTTTGTTCTTAGTGTCTTTTAAAGAATCAATTGTCATATGCAATGGCTTAAGCAATAAATTGCTCTAGTGAATCTGCTCTTTGCATTGTCAATAATAAATCTTTGACATTATCTTTTTATCCATATGAAACTAATTGATAAGAGCTTTGTCATTCCAATCCATCACAAGTAAGATTTTAGAATTCAGTAGCATATATTGAAGCTAAATGTGATGCTTATTGTAGCAATACAAGCTTAGTCTTTGGTATCTTTTTTCAATTACTTTCTTGAAATATAGCCATAAATACTTCTAAGAATGAATTCAAATTATAGAGTAGTTGTAAATTTTTTTCTATCAAAGATACAAACTAAGAGAGAACACTTTCCAATAGAAATGCACCTATGAATCCTACTTGATTAAATGCATTGGGATATTAGAAAAGATGCAACCTTGAATAGAGCTTTATTTGTTGCAAAAATCTTTGAAATTTTGATCTTATTCCATGAAACTTCTTAGGCAAACTAATCCTTGCCTTCCTTGTGCTTATAGAAAGAATACTTCTTGAATTTGGTTGTAAGATTGATCTACTTACCTCTTTCAAGTACACAATTTCTTGGTGTAGACTTTGGACTTTTTTCATATGTGTAGGAATAGTACCTCCATGATTCACATTAGAAATATATGAGATTTCTACTCTTAAAGTATTGATAAGTTCGTGAAGATCTACAATAATTGCAAATCTATTCTCACTTCCACTGAGAATAGCATATATATATATATATATATATATATATATATATTAATAAATAATTTAAATAAATCCAAAAAATTGAATTAAAAGAGGGTAATCTATAACCTTTAATATCAAATGAAAGTTTCCACAAAGAAGAATAATTGATTGTTTTTAAGGAAAAAATCAATGTTAAAAAACTAAATTGTTTGTTTAAAAGTACATAATTTGCAACCTTTAAAATATAATAATAGAAAAAATAATTTACTCACTTTTAAAATAAGATAAAGACAATAAGTTAGCATTCTTGTCAAATTATTAAAGACATGAATCTCAAAGAAAAAAAATTTCAATACACTCTTGTGTTACTCGAAAAGACTAAAAAATCACTCAAAGATGGTAATATATTGAACTAGAATGACTATTGCCAAAGACAAGATGACTAAAAAGTTTTGAAATAAGAGTAAGGATTAGAAAGGTGTTGATAAGAATGAAGAAGGCTTCACTCTCAACTCCATATATTCCTTCTAATTAGGAACTATGTGGCAATCTTCTATAAGACCTCTAACATATGTTGACTTTTCTAGACACATGTTTTAACTTGCAAGGCAAGTTATCTATATATGCACCATATAGTTAAATTGTTCCACAAGCTATTAAGATGTGTGGTACATGGTTAACTTATTGACCAAGTTTTTAACCTACCAATCAATTATAAATACAAGTAAAGTCAAAGATATATTATGAAATTAATCTATATTTACCTACTTCTATCTAATCATATAAGTAACTATTGGAGTAAATGTGTATGTAAGTAATATAATTGCTCTTTAAAAAATACATTCAATAATAGAGTTGCTTTGATGAAGTATGTAGCCATTGAGAAGAAGAATATGAATACCATGACATAAGTCTTAGATACTACAATGGTTCTAGTCTTAAAATATTCGGTGGAAATTTTGGACAAGTTGATAAAGATACATACCTAAAATTAATCCATGAAGATTATAACTCCTACTAGTAGATTACCTTTGATAACTACTTATATTGAAAGATCATTGACGTTCAGAATAAAATACCTTTGATTTTGTAATTAAGTCATTTTTAGTTTGTAATAAAATTCTATATTCTTCTATTCTCAAACACAATTTCAAATTGGATAAGTTTTGATCATCTTTTGCTATGCTCTCATATACTAAATAGAATTTGTTAGAACTAGCAAGGAGGTTTGAAATAAGTTTAGATATCATGCAGGAATCCATAAATGTAGTATTATCTATATCCTCCAACTTGCTCATAATAAGTTCTAATTTAGCTATGAAACTAGAAATGGATTGACCATGTTAAATTCTAGCATTAAAGAACTATCGCTTTAAGTTCATAAACATTGGTGCTGTTTTTAAATTCATGCTCTTCTATTAATCTATTCTAAACTTGTTGTGCAATTTTGCATTGAATTAGAGGCTTTTGTCCATTATACAATTTCTATTTTCTATTTCCTTTCGCCTTGTGCCATCAATATGAGTGATGTAACCTATTGCTTGGAATAGATTCTTGATCTACCACTTCCATAAGTGAAATTAGGAACCATTGAAACGCTGAAACACTAAATTCTAATTAGATCTTTATAGATGAACATTGTGATCAAATTGAAACATGATCAAATTATAAGAAACAAAAAATGAGTAGGAAGTTGAAAAATGTAATGCCTGTAAAATCAAGAAGTTCAAGAAAATCAAGAAAAAGTTCAAGAGAACAAATAAGCACTGCAAACTTTCTAAAAACTGCGACTGAAAAACTTGAAAAAATATACTGAACACTGAATACTGGATTAGCCACTGAATTATTCTAATCACTTGATCAATCGCTCTCAAAGAAGCCAGTCCCTCTGATATTACTTGTTCGATACCACTTATACCACTTACTTGAAAACAAAACAACTAAATCAGTTGTAAACAACTGAATTAATCAAAATCTAGGACCCTGACCTTGATTAACACTCTGATCTAGCACTCTAAAAAAAATATAACAGAACAACGAAGCGTGGGCCTATTGACCTATTGTTTTCACAGAATACTACACCAAGAATATCGGGAAACAACAACACTATTACAAGTCAAATCTTATATATCAATGAGAAGTTCTTATTTCTTACTAGTAACACACTAGTTTCTGTAGGGAACCGACCATTTCAGCTGGCTGCTGCTTGCATTGCATCCCCAGACATCGACCCATTTTCCTTGCCGCTGTCTACTGATGCTGGTGCAGCAACTGCCCGAGGACGCCCACTGTGTACTCATGCAACCGCTCCAAAACCCTAGATTCTCTTACAAGACCAGCACCCCCACCAATCCAAGCAGGTAGTCCAGCCTTTCTCGATTGTATCCTGAGTCGTCATGTCCACGCAGGTTGCCGAGATCTGTACGCCTTGCAGCGCTTCATTCCCGGCTGCTCACACGTGCTTGACCTAGAACGGTGTCGATCCGCTCTCGAGCCGTGCTTCCAACTCCGCGATTCGCCCATCTTTCTCACCGAGCTCCCGGTTCTTCTCCTGCAGAGCCTCCTGTGCCCTCTCGTAAGCATCCTGCACACCCTTCACCTGCGTTTCCAGCTCGCGGATGCTCTTCTCCCACGCCTCGTCCGTCACCTCGAAGATCCCGTGGGCCACTCGCACGATCCGCCACAGAGTGAGGATGATAATCAGCCCCGCTGTGTCCGCGTCCAGCAGAACCTCCAGCCCTAGGGCCGTAGAAACCACCACCAAATCCAGCACGTACAGCGGATGCAGGAAGAACGATCTTCCGAACGCCACGATCAATCCCAACACGTTCAACATGAGGATGACCAGAATCACGATGCTAGTCCAGTACGTCCACTTCCACTCCGCGCTGTGCTCGAAGTGCCCGATGCAGCCTTGACAGCTCTCCACCAAATCCACGCACACGTCCAAGTCGTGGCTCTTGTTGTGCATCGTCTTCAGGATATCGATCGCAGTCGCCGCCAAATCCACCAACAGCAATACCACAATCGCCACATGCGTCCATGTCGCCTCCAGCGCTTCCGCCAGCTCCTCCCTCCATCGCGCCCTCCGCGGGACGTGGGTCTCTTGCTCAATCCATCGCTGCGCCGACAGCCGCTGCGCCTGAGTCCTCTTCCGCCAGGCCTTGCTCACTTCCTGCAACGCAGACCCCAAACTTGATGAGTCGCCGGGATCCGGCGTCTCTCATTAAAAACTTGGTTAAAAATATATTGAAAAAAAATTCTAGTTCTTAATCATAGATCTTAATCAAAAAATAGTTTAACATAAATTTAATCTAATAGTTTAAAATGTAACAAAAACCAGAGTTTGTTTAGTTTTATTTATTTATTGTTTTTCTTCGATCAAACTAGATTTTGTTTTCACTTGGTTTTGTAATAAAAAAGTGTTTTTTAATTTAAGTCTAATTTATTGTTCTAATTTATTTAAACAACATCAAATATTTCTCACCTTGAAAGTTGTTCTTTTACCTTGGAATCAAATTAGAGAGCATATGAACAAATTTCACTATCACCAAGAAACACCAAAATAAGGATAAAGTAGGCACCAATTTCAGCACGAAAAGTATACAATCCCTTGGAAAAAGCGAAACATTGAAAAGGGGAGGGGAGGGTGGAGTACATATGCATCAAATTCTACCATGGGCATAGAGTAGTGAAAAGCTTGTAATTAGGATTAAAACGAGCTTAAAGCTTGTGGCTATGGAGGCATAAAATTTCCTTGAAGACTTCGTTCCCGAATCCGTTGAGGTTGGGGAACCCTCGCATGGGAACGCGAGAACGGGATCCTTGTGGGTGCCGCGCAGCGCCGCGCCGGATGCCAACGCGAGGCATTTCGAGGCAGCGTGAGGAGGATATTTGCCAAAGCGCGCGGGGATCACGTAGCGCGAGAGTGGATTCGCAACCAGCTTCGTTGGGGAGGTCCCTTGCCGACGCTGCCTGGTTTCGTTGCGTTTCCCGTGCTCGTGGGTTTATCTGAGATTTTATTCGCGTTGGTGTTGGCGGTGGCTGTGTATGCTAAGGCGGTGTTCTGGAGTTTGGGGCGCGAGTCGTATTGCGTGCTTGGAGACTGAATTCGTTGCCAGAGTTGGTCCCTTGCTCTCTCATCAAATGCAGCTCAATGGGCTTTGCAGGTCACCGGGTGCTCTTGCCAGTAAGTTTCTTTGTTTTTTTTCTTCGATTCTTGACTTGAGTTTGCACCGACCATGCGTTCCTTCGGGTGTTCCTGTGGATGCCGAGCAGATTTTTCGAGTCGCTGCATCGGTAGGTTCGTGTTTCTCCTCCGGTAGGGAGACAAGGATGTGGAATGTGTGCGAAGGGCTCTGAACGATAATGCGTGAACTAAGGTGGAAGTTTTGCGAGTGATTGACATGAGGCGTCTCGGGCTGGTGTCGGGTCAATGCTGCCGCTGTCATTGGTGGGCAAATTTGGACAGGATGTGGGCTCTGCACATTAAATCTGTTGGTTTTCGATTGGGTATCTTTGAACTTCGTGGTTGCGTGATAGTTGTGTGAAGGGGCTTGATTAATGCACCATTGCTTGAGTAATTTTGATTAAATTAATTGGTTGTGGAGACTTAAAAGTCGTTGACCTAATATGTTTTATTTTTATCCCGCGGAGTCTAGTTTTAAGGAATTGAAACAGCCGTAACAAATAGCTTGTAAATAGTGAGTATGGCGTAAAATCGCCGAAATTGGCGATGTGAGCTTACCTTTCCGGAATCTGTTGAGCATGTGCAGGAAATATTCTGCACAAAGATACATCGGTGACTGGATCTCGCGGCGGATCCTATAGCGTGCATAACTCTGTATTCTGTCGAGGTACTTGAACTTTGGATTATTTTTAAATGCACTTGGGTTTTAATTTGCCCGATGTTTGTAGCGACAGCGCTTGACGTTGGAAGTGAACGATAGCACGCAGACTATTTGTAGTGCTCTGATACTGAATGGGAGTGATAAGGTGTCTCAGCGCACTTAGTCATTGGAAGGCAGCAGTTCCATCCTCATTCGATGTATGATGCAATGAAGTTGAAGAAGTGTGTGATGGTGTTGATAGACAAGTTGATGTTCATATAGGTTTGTCGTCAAGAAGGTCTTCGGAAAAGGAAAGAACAGCCAATCGTGCTAGGCGCAACAGCACTCTTGTTCCCAAACAGAGTTCAGGGGATGTTTCCAACCTTCAAAATGGCTTGGGGTGGGTACAGAAGAGCTTCTCACATTCGTGCTCCTCATTTCTCGGTGGCTGGTGTTGAGTAGAATTTAATACAGACACCTTACATGTGGCAGCTGGATGACCGAGCAGGAATGCGACGGACTTAACGGCAACAGGGACTACGGAGAATGACTTGGTGCTTCCGAGTGTTGGAGACCCTGCGCTTGCAACTGTTCCAGTGAGTGCAGCTGTTGTTTTCGTGTTGGTTTGTGGCCATTGTGAATGTCCATGTCTAGTCGGTGCGGAGTGTTGCGTGGAATTGGAGATTTGTTGAGGACATGTATCATGTCTTCTATGCAGGGAGAGCTGCAGCAAAGGACCCTGGAATGGCACGGTCTGCGCAAAGCACGCCTGACAGCAAGCTCATTTGGCAACGCATTGGGATTTTGGAAAGCCGGAAGGGCTGAGCTGTGGGAAGAAAAGCTGGGCCTTCGCAAGCCATTCGCAGGGAACGAAGCCACCATATGGGGTACTAACCAGGAAAGCGGAGCCATCGAGCGGTACAAGGAATTGACTGGAAACCTTGTGGAACACATAGCTTTCAAGATCTACAAGGAAGGTGACGATTTACACGGATGGCTTGGCGCATCTCCTGATGGCCTTATAGACGGCAGGATCTCGGCACCATACAGCTCCGGTGGGATCCTGGAAGTCAAGTGTCCACATAACAAAGGTAGTCCACAAACGGGGGCTCCATGGACATCGGTTCCTCATTATTACATGCCGCAAGCTCAAGGGTTACTCGAAATCTTTGACAGGGAGTGGATGGATTTCTACGTTTGGTGCATGAACGGGAGCTCCATCTATCGGATCTACAGGGACGAAAACTACTGGGGACTGATATTTAGGGTAATGAGTGAGTATTGGTGGGGAAGCATTGTCCCCGCAAGGCACCTCTTGATGAAGGGAAACGAGTCGGACAGAGTGGAGGCGTACCGGCCTCAAGCGAAACACCCCCTCACGGACGAGATTGTGTCCATGAGCAGATTGCTTGCTGTCCGAGCCCCGTTAATCTGGAAAGATGTGAAAGGACCAGGATCGGAATCCGAAGAGCTTCTCAAGGAAAAACTGGAGCTGTTCTATTCGTTTTAGATGGTAAGTGAATGTGAATCTGCAAAGTAACTCTTTGAAGGCCTCTTTCCGTCAGCGGTATTTCTAGCTTTTCTTGCTCATATGTGGAAGCTGCACCGGGCTCATGAGACCATGGCCGAAGTGACCGCATAGTTTTTGGACAGCAACACCGCCAAGGGATTGATGGTTGAAATGGGCTCTAAAGGATCCTGAAGCTGAGGGTTTTTATTTTTGAGGATTCCTTTCTATGAACATCCTCGACAAGGACATAACCTGCGAGCAATGGGACACAACAGGGTCAGATCTGCTGCAGAAGTGTGTCCGCATCTGGGAGCTGGTTAGTGAACAGATCTGAAGACGCCATGAAATGGGTCGCTGCGTGTTGTGTATTGCCTAAACGCACAATTTAACAATATTTCTCCCGGTTAGACTTCAATTCGCTGGTGATGTAAGCAAAGCCGCATGTGAATCATGTGACATTCAATTAATTTTTGAGTAAATGATGTTCATGGATCAAAGTGTTGCTTTGAGGTCTATTTAATCCATGTAATATTACAACTTTAGTTGCCTCTGCGGAAGTTATCGTGAAAGAAAACTCTTTAGATTTTTCATCATCGTTGACATTAGTTGTTTAGATAAATATTTAACAAACCAATCAAAATTTATATGTAAATTTTAATACTAGAATGGTTACAAATTCAAAATTTTGAGAACTGCTAAATAATGTTTAAATCAAAATCTTGTATCTTAATGATATTACTATATATTTAAAAAATTCAAAACTTAAAGATATAATTCACACTTTAGAAGTTTTTTTTTTATTAATTTAAAATAACTTAAAATAAGTAATCAAATTGCATAGATAGATTCTATAGATATTTCTATTACAAATACAAAGGATCTAAATTTAAAATGTTTAGATATTTTAATTGTGTGAAACCAAAAAGTTGAAGATTTGTGTAATACTTAAAATTCTTTCTATGCATAAAACATCCTTTCTAATAGTTTGATGTCATCAATTAAATAAATATTGTGGTCACATTTCATTTAATAATGTGTTTTATTAAATTTTATCATTGACAAAATAAGTTTAAAAATTATTTAATTATATGGTTGCAATTATAGAAGTTTTTGTAAACACATTCAGAGATAGTAGTTGAAAAGAAGTCATAAAAAAAAAAGTTCAAATTGTAAAAAAAGAAAAAGATTACACTCAACTATCATGTATTACTGAATTTAAATTTATATTAATATAAATTGTTGCAAAAGAATAATTATTAATTGATTTTTATGTAATTTGAAGGTTTATGTAAAACACTTATTGCTTGCAATATCAAAAGTGAATTTGTTGCAAGTTTTTTTTAGTCAAGAAATTGTTTCCAACCAAAAAATAAAAATAAAAATAAAAATGAAAGGTGTTAAAAACAAAGACTGGTGTTCAAAAAGAACATTTCAAGGTATGACAACAACTTAAAATTTTAAAGATTATTTTTTGTTATTCACAAACATGCAAAATAATACAATTTAGTTTAAGAAATTGATTTAAGAGTGATAAGACAAATACCAATGTGAGGTTTAATGCTTGAATTTAAAAAGAACTACAGAATAAAACTTTCTTAGAGCAAAACGACAAAATTCAAGATTTAGAGCACGATTCCACCCACAAAGAATTCAGCAAATAAAAACCCTTAATTGCAACAAAAACCTTGCAATTAGGTGGTTTTGAGTATATACTTATTAATTAATTTTTTGGGCAACTACAAGATCTTAGACTTTATCTTCAAATTTCATTACATATCAAAACTTTAAATTGAAAAATCTTTGTTAAAGTCTTTTTAGATACCATGGCCTCACTATGTTTTATTAATAAATATATTTTATGACAATATAGTCTGACACTTATAAATTTTTTTATTTAGTTTGTATCTAAAGAAGCAATTTAGTACCAACTACTTGCATAAAAAAATAATATAGGAAAAAAAAAAAAAACTTTTGTGAAGGATTAAATATCAAAAACATTTCATTTTTATGATTTAATGTCTTTTAAATCTAGTAATTTTTTACCTTTTAAAAAAATAAAATAAAAAAATAAGTTGATTATTATTTGAATAAAAATATACAATCTTAACTTGAGATGTTTTCATTTTTGAATTTTTTATTTCTATAGAATTTTCATCAATGAAAAATAATAATATCTATGTATCATATTAAAAGGAGAAATAGGAATTAAAAAACTAATTTTAATTTCAAATATTAAAAAAAATTTGGACATCAACCCTAATAATTATATATATAGATAAAAAATATATTCTAATTAGAAACAAATATACCATTCTATATATAAGTTATATTATTTTTATTACAATTGAATATTCCAATCTTTAGATATAATAATTTTTTATCTTTAAAAATACTTTGTGACTGCAATTAGTATTAAAAACTATATATCTTTTTTTTTGCTTCTAGTAACACATTTGAAATATGATATTATATAAGATAAAAATGTAATATATTTAATTTCATTCAAAAAAATTTTATGTAAATGTAATAGATTTATACATTTTTATTTTTTAGACATTTTAAATATAGAGTTAAAAAAGATTGATTTTACATTTCAAATAGCCTTGTATTAATTAATATTTTGTTTAAAATTTAATGCATGTTTATTTAAGTAAATTAAAAAAAATTATAAGAAAAGTTTATAATATATATTATTTTATTCTAAGTTTTTATATATATATATATATATATATATATATATATAATTACAATTATTACTACACTCTATTTTAATATATGTTTCCATATATGCTAAAATTATTCTTTTAAAATAAAAACTTAACAATTATTTTGTGTTCAATAAAAAATCAATGTAAACCTTATACCATAAACAATATTTTGTACAAGCTATATTAATTAAAAGATAGAAAAATAAATACATGTTTGGTTTATTAATATATATATATATATATATATATATATGTAGTTTGTATAAGTTGCATAAAAGTATAATTTATATTCAACATTAAAATTATAGGTAAAAGTTGTTATATATTGAATATAATTGTTATAAAAATAGAGTTTTTTTGCATAAAAACGTTTGTAGATATATATACATGCATGTATGTAATATATGTATTATTTTATAACAATAATTAATTTTGATAAGAATATTTTATTTAGTTTTTAAAAAAAAAGTTTAAATTAAACATCTATTACATTTTAAGCTAAAATTTTAATGATATATTTTTTAAAAAACCATCATATATATATATATATATATATATACATAATAAATTTATTCCATGTACAATGTGCATGTTTGTGTATCATGTAGTTATAGCCACCTAATGTAGTTATGGCCACCTAATGAACAATGTATACATAAGAAAAAAGAAAAAAGAAAAAAAATTCAAAAATAATAACCATTTTTATTTATATTTATTTATTTATTTTATTATATTTATTTTAGAAAACATTGTTTCTGGAATGAGCATTTATTACAAAAGTTGTAATGCAGCAATCAACAAACCTGTGTTCAAAAAGAAAAAAAAGAAAAAACACACTAATTTAAGTAACTTTTAGATGATGAACACTTATTACCTTGGCTGCACCTAGAGTTTATTGCCCTTGCACTAAGGCACAATCTCTTGGTTTTTTTATATTATTGAGCATTTCATTGATTGGTTTGCTTTTTGAAATTAAGATAATATCTTAATTGTCAATTAATTTAGTTATACTCTTAATCATTAAGGCTGCAATTGTGGATATTTAACAATAAAACTTAAATTGTCAACAATTGGAATAATATATACTTGTAATAATTATAATATTTTTTCTTAGCTACAAAACAATCTAAAACATAGCTATTAGATGAATAGATGAAGCATGCTTCAACAAAGCAAAGTAGACATGTGTTACATATTAGAAAATATTGTCATTAATATCATCTATATCTTTATTTTTTGGCATAAGAATACCACTTTACAAAGATGCACTCTTATTTGGAGTTGATATTATTTGATTATATGTTTATTTGAAGTAATAACATATAAATATATTACATAAGATATTATTGAAGCAATGATGTTTTCACAATATTTTTATATCTCTCCTGTAAAAATACCAAAAAAATTCGTCTAAAGTGATCACTAAATATCACAATCTTTTGTCCAAATGGCTTTTGATTTATTTTGATTTATTTATTTATTTATTTATTTTTTGCATCAAAATTTTACATTAGATCTCTCAAAATTCTATCAAAAATATTAAGAACTTAACAATGCATTATTGGTGCTTGATCCTATATGGTAAGATCTGCATACAAAAGAAGTTATGCAATAGCCATTTGCTTCATAATAGAGTAGGTGGTCTCATTATTTAATAAAATAGAAATTAAAAATTGACAATCAATACTTCATCTATCAAAAAGCAACAATATGGCAATTTGAAATGATGCAACAATGAGAACAATCTTTTCTTGACTGTATAGCCAACATTTAATTATCTTTCATACAAATGTCTTTTATGGTCCACCACTTTTTGAGACAAAAAAAAAAACACTTTTCTGTGAAATTTACAACGTTCAAATTTCTTTGAAATCAATACGCTAGTTCTTATTAAACTTCTCTTTGTTATCATATGCTTTAATAGCAAGGACTTGCTAGTTATATACCAACTCATCTCAAATCAATCTATTGCTTTTTTCAATTGGCAGTACATAAGTAGATACCAATATCTAAGCAAAATCAACTAAGATTCAAAGTATATCTTAAAATACATTCAAGCTTATACATTGTTGTGTTATGGCATGAATATCTTTTTGTTGTGTTGTGAGGCATCTATTGGATGAAAGAGAGAGGAAAGTATTATATTACAAAAGATCTTATTTTAAAATATAGTATAAAATTAACTTAGAATCATAGATAATAGTTAAGGAGGTAGTAAAATTAATAAATGCTAATGATATTGTTTTGTAAAAAGGGTTTCTATTCACTTTTTAGAACCATACATAAAGCAAAAAATGATAGATGAGGGAAAATGATATTATAGACATCTTTGGGTGGAAGAATAGTATAGTAATTAGTAGAAACTACTTGAATAAATCTTAGATTGATATTCATAGAGGGCCAATTATGAATCAAGGTCAAAACTAGACCTTGAGGTACAAAATTGTTTGCTTATGGAAAATGGAGTTCTTTTCTATCAATTAAAGTATAGATTTTAAGAAAAAACTTGATAAGATTTCTATAAAAATTATTCCAAAAGAATGCATTTTGACTTTGTGAGAGCTTTGTAAAGATAAAGTTGTTTTAAAAGACTCAATTTTGCATTGAATATATATATATATATATATATATATATATATATATTGATAAATTATATAGATTTTATAACAAATCTATTGGTAAAATTTGGTGAATTTTTTAATGTATTTGTATTGAATATAAGTTGTGAATTTCAATTTAATTCGAGGTTCAAACCAAACCTAAGTGAAGTTCAAGTGAGCTAGGATCTTGAAAATTGAATGCTAGGATCAAACTTTATATGCTTGTTTTCAACCAGTAAACTAAGTTGTATAGAAAGTTTGAATCAAGATCAATAATTAATGTAATAGTTATTAATATTAGAATTATTTTGTCATATTAACTTAAGATTTGATTAAGATTTATTACAATTTACTTGAGACTTGATTAAGATTGATTAGGATTCAATTAAGATTTGATTAAAAATCAATCAAGGTTTATTTAGATTTTTTTTATAATTTCTTTAGATTTTCTTTGTAATTTCTTTAGAACTTTTTTAAGGTTTCTTTTCTTTTATTTTTTAAGATTTAATTAATATTATCTTTTATGATTGCTTAAGGTTTATTCAAAGTTAAATATAATATGATAAGAATATTTAGATTGTTTTAAAATTATCAACATGGTTAACAAACCACCTTATATATCATTTTTTTGGGTTGTAAATCCAACTTCAAGATAAGATCATATCCTTCTACAACCAGATGCTTGCTACATTTGTAAACTAATTTTCACATAATACAATATTGTAACCTAAATTTTAGAGCTTTCTAAGTCTTTGTTTGTTATTGTTTTAATATTGACACTAAGATTCTTCTAGTACTTATTCTACATGTCCCCCATATTTTTCACTTCACAAAATAATACTACAAAGGTAAACATGTCTTATAGTTGCTTGCTTGTTTCCCACAACATTTACTTCTTCCAAAACTTGTTACCATATATTATCATCTTTTATTATTTTCATCATTAGATGTATATTTTTGAAACTATTATGTATAGTGCCATTGAGAATATGTAAGCTCTTGAAGGATATGACACCTTTTATACAATTAAACAATATTTGAAGTTAGTACCATTCTTTAGAAGTAGAATATGCATAAAAAATGCAACCAATGACAAATCCACACTTTTGACAATCTGACTTTTTTTCCTTGCACTTCTACACAAATAATTGTAAAAACCTACCATAGGTAATTTTTTTTGTGATTGTTTCTAGTATAGAGTTCAATTGCCAAAGAATGATTATCAAACACGGATGATAGAAGGTGATTATAGTGATGGACATTATAGGTAACTAAAAAGTGGCATTAATCAAAGTTGATTCATTCAATTCTATTATGCTACCTTTATCATGGTAATGTTTAATATAAAGATAGCATAATAGAATTGAATGAATTAATACCTTTATATTGTATTTGAAAATATCATTCTATACATTCTAATTTGAGACTCTTATTTTATGTAATATTCTCTTTCTAGATTGATTTTCATATGGTTGGTTTCATTACAAACATTGTACATATTCATACATAAGTAACCTCAATATAAGAAAATCAAAGCTATAGAAATACTCACTTTAAATTTAACATAAATCATTACTACTAAATACTCACATTCAGTGAAACAAGAAACCAAATTGATCTAGTATGGAAAGTCACACAATTGAATAGAATAGTAACAACATTTTAACACCAACTTGAAGTCCAATTCAACATCTATGTGTAATGACAATGCTAAAGAAAAAACGGATCCTACATGGAATTCTTGGAGATCAACTCAAAGGCGAATCTTGAGCTCGTGTGAGGAAGAATCTAGTGGCTGTCAACACGGCGACGGCGATGGTGTGGGATCGTCGGCAATGTCTAGATCTGTGGGCGAGCGGGACCTGCAGGCGCGGCGACGGGTCGCACGCAGATCGACATGCGGGGTTGAAAGGGTCGGTGCGATACGATGCGATGCGATGCGGAAGGATTGGAATGAGTTTGGGAGTAGGTGAGCGATTTCACAGCCTTTCGAAGCAGTCCTGAATCTGCGGGGAATCGAAGCATCGACAAAATTGACAGGCGACGAACTGACCAGGCCATGCTGCGGATGGGCTACGATCGGTGCACGGTGGCGATGAACATACTCATCTCATTTTAGGCTGCGAGATCCGTGACTGCACCACACGGGAAAAAAAGTTGCGGATGGAAAAATAAGAAACCAATTCCTCGCCCGGTCCACTAGACAGGCGACGACTGGGTCCGGGAAATCCTCAAGCTCCGATTATTCCGTGACATTCGATCATGCGCTTCGTTCGCCGTGCCATCTCTTCAATTATCGTTGCCATGTTCCCCTTCCTACTACCGATCAGCACACATTCCCTTTCACTCCTTGGTTGTCTCAACTTTCCAAGTCCGCTGTACCTGCGCACGGGAGATGCTGCAGTGAGGTCGGTTGAAATTACTGGGTGACCGAGTGGCACAAAAACTGTTTGGGTGCCGTTCAGACCTGTTTTAATATCGGAAGACGCGTGGGGTTAAGTTTCTCAATACTTTCTATTTGTAGAAGAAACAACGACAATAATCAAGATAAATCATTGGGCTGTAGACTCCTGAACCGATATCTGTGGAGGAATCTTGGCTATTCGTGTTCTCTGCCGGCGCCACCATTGCATCAGTTGCTGAAAGCTTGACACACCAACTGACGTGTCAACTGGTGTGTCAAGATACGGGACTACACTTTTTTATTTCTGTTTGTTTGTCGAAATTCTCCATAATTCGGGAGCATCTTCGATTTTAGAGAGGAAACAGTTCGCTGTTTTTCAATCAGGCTCCTTTCAAGGTGCTTTCCAAGATTCTGCATAGTCGGTCCTGCCTCAGGCTGCTTCCTGAGGGTATGTTTTATCCTCCCCGGCCACAGACTCCCATGAAGACTTGTTCCAGCCATCTCGAACTGCATGATGTTATTATTCATTCGGGAAATATGCATAAAATCCATGTGTGACCCAGACAAGTTTCGAACAGGAGTTATGTCTTTGATTGCCAGGTTGCCAATGACGGAAGCTCTCAGGCAGGATGTAGTTTGTCAAACGAAGGTGTTGCTAAGGTGGTGGTAGTAGACGAAGAGCATTCAAAGCTGATAATTAGTGAATTGTGCTGTTCAATCTCCCTCAGCGGAAATTCTCCGTGCATGGTCACTTTGTGGTCGACTTGTGGTGAATCACTTCGAATTATACCTGTAAGAAGTATAAGTCCTCTTGGCAGTTACAATAGCCGCCGATCATATGACATGAGCCTGGATTGGAATGAAATGTATGCATTTCAGCTTTTTCGGTGTTCGGGCTTGTCTCGTCGACGTTATTAGATCTTTCCATTGGATTCGACCATTTCAAACTTTTCAGGAGAGAGAACTTCAGCTCCTGGCATGTGAGAGCAGGTCTTGATGCTGACAATCAACACGGTTCAAGCTGTGATCAAGATGGGTTGGAGTTCGCAGTTTTCGGATCGAAGAATGATAGGTAACCATGTAAGTGCAGCCAATTTCCAACTTTTTTCTAAATCAAAAGATTTTCATTTCTGGCTAGGGGAGCCCTTAGTAACTTTGTTCTGGGATTCTTGAATCTGGGCATGTTCTTCGCGCTCATTTGGTCGATTGGATGCCGTGTTTTAGGGTGCATGAAACTGTTGCAATCCTTGGAGGACCATCGTCGATGACCTAGTTTTGGGAGAGTTCGATAAGCTCCGTTGAGAAATGAGCACCTATCAAGAGGTATCTGCCATTGTGTAGATAATTGTGGCCATTGTGGCCATTGGAGGATCATGGGAAAGGTGGGAGACTTGACTGCGAGGGTTCTTCGAGCTGTGGGGCCGGTGAAGCAAAGCCATCTTCGCAAGGGCTCCACGCCAAGCATCTTCAGCCATGCGTACAGCAGTGGAATGTTGCCGGCTCTTGGATCCAACCAGAGCTCCAAAGATCTGATTTCGAAGAAATACGTGATTCATCCTTACAACAAAAAATACATGTACCATCATTCTTTTTGTCCCCACCATGAAGTTTTTCTCGATTTCTGCCCCCGACGAAAGAAATTCCTCCACTGGGGGAAATTCGTAGAAAGGAATGTTGGATCGAAAGTTCTTATCCTACTTGGGAGATGATTGCTCACCAAACAGTACATCAGAGAGTGTAGAATGTACTGTGGCTATGGAGTACTATGGTTGAGATTGTGGGATCCGTGAAAATGTGCAGCATTCTCAGCATCATGCCGTGATGCTAAGAATCTGCAACAGAGCGTGGGGTTGTTGCCATTGGGATATGCGGCCAGTTTCGCATTAAGGCTGTGGATTCTAAGCGTTGCAAGTGTGGACAGGTACTGGCAGGGAATTTTGATAATTCTGGTGTTCTACTCCTCATGGGTGGCTCCGTTCGAGTTTGGGTTTGTGCACAACCCTCGCGGCGCTCTGTTAGCGGTCGACAATGTCGTCAACTTTTTCTTCTTAATTGACATCGTTTTGACCTTCTTCGTCGCATATCGGGACAATTCAACATTCCTGATGGAATGCAGCTTGAGGAGGATTTCCTTCCGGTAGTATTCTTAGATCGTTGAGTCTCATCGTTTACGTACGTTTACCTTGTCTGCTTGGGTAGCAAGCTGTGCTTCTGTTTTGTTTGCTTTGTTTTCTCAAGTATTTACACTTCTCATTACCGCATTGCAATTTACAGGTATTTGAGAACATGGTTCATTCTGGATGTTTTGTCGACTGTTCCATTGGCCGCAGTGGTAGCGATATTTACTGGAAAATACTATACAGGATTTGCGTCCAGTTTGGTCAACTTGTTGCGCCTCTGGCGATTAAGGCGCGTTAGTGCCTTGTTTGCTAGGGTGGAGAAGAATGTGAAATTTAGTTACTTCTGGACTCGATGCTTCAAACTTTTCTTGGTATGTCAGCTGTGTTAACATTCCTGTCGTAATGATCCTTTATTCCTCGTTGTCAAGTCTTAAATCATATTCGGTTGCTCAATATCGATTCAGCTTCTGCATTTTGACGAGGAAATTTTTGCGACGCCACAGGTGACAGTGTTTGTTTGCCATTTTGCGGCCTGCTCGTTTTACCTGTTAGCTGCCCGGCATCCCAAAAGCAAAGAGGACGAGACGTGGCTGGGAGCCATGCTTCCGAATTTTGAAGAGGAATCACTGTGGGCGCGGTATGTGACGAGTGTTTACTGGTCCATGACCACACTGACAACTTTAGGATATGGCGATTTGCACCCCATCAACCGCAGTGAAATGATCTTCGCCAGCATTTACATGTTGTTGAACCTGGCGTTGACATCATATATCATCGGAAACATGACCAATCTCATCACTCGTCTTACCTCACGAACACGACACTATGTGAGCCTCTCTTCCTTCCCTGTGTTCTTTTTTATTTATTTATTTCCATCCCCGAGAGCTGCATGAAATTCTTCAATTAAGATTTCTTGCGGGTTATAGTGCATGGAACTCGGCTCGGTCAGGTTTTAATGATGTGATTGGGTTTGGGGCCAGCGTGACTCGGTGCAACATTTGGTGGAGTTCTCAACGAGGAACGGATTGCCACCAAAGCTTCACGAGAAAATCATCTCCCACTTGCAGGTCAAGTTCAAGACAGAGAACCTGCGGCACCAAGCGATCATAGCCACCCTTCCAAAGGCTATCCGCTCATCTGTTGCGCAGTTTCTGTTCTTCGACACCGTGGAGCAAGTCTACCTCTTCCAGGGCACTTCCTACAATTTTCGTGCCCAGCTGGTGCTTCTTCTCTGCTTTCTCTGTCTCTACGCTTTTTTGTGCTGGTGAACATGGAGGTCTGAGAGTGATCAAACAAGGACGTTTCTGTGCATCCATCTTATTACCAGATAATTATTTTCATTGGCTTTAAATCCAACGAAATTTCTCTGCATGGTATTGAACGAAGGTGTCAGAGATGAAGGTCGAGTTCTTCCCTCCTGGCGAAGAAATCATTCTGGTTGATGAGGCCCCCTCCGAGTTCTACATTGTTGTGAACGGTTCCGCGGTAAGTTGAATATTCCCTATCCACGACCATTCAGGTTGGAGAGATATTGTTTTTTGACAGATTGATAACTTCTCTTCGTTTTTCTCTTTTCCCCCTTCTGTTCATGGGCTGTTTTTCTTGATGTTACTTGTGATTTCATGAAACAAACAGAAGTTAACAACATGTGTGATTGACTGGTTTCAGAATGTGTTCATTCGAGGAGATCAGGGTGGGCCAGAGCAAGTATGTACTAAACCTTGTATGGTTTTTTTGATATAAATATTTTCTGTAGACGGTGGTCATGAAGCTCGTTTTTGTATTTTCTAAAACTTGACACGTTTGTGGCAGCTTTTAACGACGGTCTACGCAACCGACGTTATTGGGGAGATTGGTGTGATTTGTTATATGCCGCAACCTTTCACTATACGAAGTCAAAAATTGTCCCAGCTCTTGCGACTGGACCGTATTGTGTTCATGAACATCGTGCAACAATACAAGGAAGATGGTCAGAGGATTGTTGACAATCTCTTGCAGGTTCAATCTTCATTTCAAATCTTGGCTCATCTTATTTCTTTTCACAACGTCATAGGGATAGTCAATCTTTAAGCAAGGATTTGGTACGTTACGTTTCTAGTGGATGCACACCTCAAAACCGCCATCTGTCTTTTTGTGTGCAGCGGCTGCGGGAAGCAAATGACCCCCGATTCGAAGAGCTTTCGTCAGAGATTGAGACTCTCCTTGCTGAAGACAGCGAGATGTCAGAGCCAAGCCTATGTGCGGTAGCTGCCGGAGGCAACGTGGGGTTTCTACAGCAGCTGTTAAGCAAAGGTGCAGAGGTGGACAAACCAGATTATCACGGTCGAACAGCTCTGGTATGGCCTTCCGAACTCCACCCTGGTTACACCCTTACACCTCAGTGTTTCCCTTACTCATCCTACCCCACAAGTTTACAGATAACGGACTACATCCTTGAGTTGATCGCTTTAAATCGTATTACTTTCATGTCCAGTATCATTTCTCATCTCTTCGGGGAATGCGACTAGGTCATTGCAGCTTCAAAAGGTTACGAGGAGTGCGTAAAGCTCCTGCTAGAACACGGAGCTGACCCAAACAAGGCTGGTATATTCAGTCACATTTCATCTTTTTGTTACGGTACTAGTCATGATCATGTCTACCGCTTATATCATGTGTGGTTCCCTTTTTATTTGATATTTAAGTGCTATCTGCATGGATGTAGACGCGCATGGGAAAGTTCCTCTCCTCGAGGCCCTTATCGCTCGGGACACCAGCACTGTGAAGGTCTTGACAGAGAACGGGGCAACCTTGGGTAATGCGGACATGGGGATATACCTCGGGCAAGCTGTCCTCGACAGTAACAAAGACCTCATTGACGACTACTTAAAACATGGAGCTGACATAAATACGGTAAGCGAATCTGAAGGACACGCAGTCGGGCAAACCGCACTCCATGTTGCCGTTATAGATGGTAACATGGACATGGTTAAGTTTTTGGTATCCCGCGGAGCCGACGCCCACTTCAAGCCCGGTGATGAAGCCACCCTTTCAGCGTGCAAGCTAGCCGAGATTTGTCCAAACCACCCAGAAATGGTTTCTTTTCTGAAGGCACAACCGATCCGCCTCGAATCATACAGCTCCACTACTCCCAAAGATTCAACATCCAATGCCACCCAGAAGAAACTTTCCATGAAGGGAAGCTCCACTGTTGAATTCCAGGTACCTCATACCGTCTTCTTCATATTAGAATCTCCTCATGAATTTGTGATTTTTGGAACGAGGAACGGTGACTCTTCATTTTTCAAAATTTCCTTTTGAGTGTAGGTTGATGAAACAAGTCTGCCTGGTCCAAGTGGAGGAGCTCCCGGGGAACGAACAATACACTCATTGATGCGGAAGCAATCCGCCAGGGGCCGCCTAATGACTATGCGAAGCCAAAAAGCCTTAGACCGGAAACGAAGTGAAATTCAAAACCGAAAGCAAAACCTTCAAGGCTCGGGCATTCAACGGCTTGAAAAGCGAAACACTTTCTCGACTAATTCGTCAGCTGGCGCCGCCAAGGTGGTTCGTCTTCGCGTAATCCTTCATCCTTATCATCCTAGGAAAACGGGAGTGACGGGGGTTGGAAAGGTCATTTTGCTGCCTAAATCCATCGAAGCTCTGCTCAAAATTGCGAGTAAGGGATTCTTTTCTTTTCTCGTCATGTGCCAAACTTTCTCTTTCAGGTCTCTAGTTTAGAAACTAAGCTGATTTGTTGGAGGCATCTAAATTGCAGTCGAAAAATTCAATAATCGTCCTACGAAAGTGTTGAGTAAAGAGGGGGCAGAAATCAATGACATAGGTGCTATTCGGGATGACGACCACTTGTATGTCATTGACGATTCAGAAGATGTCGGGAGTGCTCCCCAAGGTGCATTTCCTCATTCTTTTGTTGTAAGTAAACCAGTTTTCGTGTTTTTGTTGCTATGGTTTCATGTTGTTGAGGAATGTACGGTCTAAATAAATTCTTTTGTCCAACAGGGATTGACACGGATGATCTCAGAGCAAGGTTGCAAGCAGTAGTTACAGCTTTATCTCAAGACAAACATCGAATTCAAAAAGACGATCAGGAGTAAGTGTAACTTTGAATAGATTAGGACCTGACTCAGGATATCACAAGATTACCAACAACTCCCACAGAAAGTGGTTTTAATTAACGATATCTGCGGCCGTATTCCTCCTTGAACGCATAAACATATAAGCCCACGAATTGTTATAATTATTTTCCATGATTCCAATGATCAATATCACAGTTATGACTCCGTTGCTCAAGCATCACATTTCTACACCAACTTGACGATTTGCAGATGATATTATTAATTGTACGGAGCACGGCAGAAAAAAAAACGTCCAGTCATTCCTATTCCTCAACAACTGAGGTGATCTTCACAAGATGGTGACAAAACAATCACTGCGATCTATATTTATTCTATGGCTTGTAGCGAAGTTTGAGCAGAATGAACTTCATGATAGGGTTTCTTTCGAAAGGAATTAGTGCAAACAAGTTGAAGCAGTCGAAAACGGAGGAAATTCTCAACATGACAATAAGAGCTCTACCACCACGCAGAACAAGAGTTGGTGCAGTCCATTCTGTTGAATAATCAAGCAATGGAGGTGGGGAAAGATGCAGGCTCTGCATCTTAGGATTCAGAATGGACATGGTGGTTGTAACTGTACAAAGAACTTCAAATGTATGACCTCATATTGAAAAAATGACAATATGCAACTAGTGCATTATTTCTCTTCAACAGTAAGGTATATATGTTCACATGATGTCATCGTGAACAATTACTTTCACCTTCATATGGAGTGGTAACTATCAATTAGAATCTTATCCTCGAATTACTATCATTAGCCTTCTACTATAGTAAGATAGGCAGTTTTAGGCAATTTTAGGTAACTTTTAGATTTACACTAACACCCCTCTTTATCTTGATAATTGGTCTAATTGGTCAAGATTATATATCTAAAGAGCAAACAACCTCAAGCCAATGTATTAATCTTTGTGTTTTGTATTATTTGAGACAATGGCAACTCAATTCTTCTATTAGAGGCATAGTAGTAGAAGATGTCAAAATTTAGATTACTTCATTTAATTTTGATTTTAGTTTTATGTTACTTTCTCTAGTTTTAGATTCTATTGTGAAGCATGTCTTGTGGCCAAAGTTGAACAATCTATCTTTTTCATTGTTATTGTGGCAATTGGAGTGTGTTAACAAGATTTGAATAGATTTTGTTGTTTCTACTCTTTAGTGGTAGGGCTTGGAATTTGTGAAACTAGATCACCTTGGGTATTTAGGAACTATTGTAGAAAATCAAGTAAGTCTAATTGATGGATTAAACAATGAGATTTCTTGTCTTTCTTTCCTTCTATGAGAACTTAATTAGTTTTTTCTACTTTTATTGCTCATGAGTATTCTTTGGGTGGATCTTCAAATTTGGAGTTCTTTACTTGCTTCAATTACAAGGGTCAATCTTTGTACTATGCCAAACCTTAGTGACCATACATGGTTGTAAGATTGCAAATATTTAGTTCTTCTCTAAATTTTTTGAACTTCCCTTGACCTACTGGCTTAGTCATTATATCAACAATTGATATATAAAATAATTCGACTATTTTAGTGAGGATATTTTTACAAATGAAATAATACGACACTTTAATGTATTTAGATCATGAATGATAGATGGAATTTTTAGCAAATTTGACTATATTTTGGTTATCACAAAAAATAGAAATTGGTTTGATTTTTCTTACTTCAATTCTTTGCAAAAGTGTCTTTAACCACATTGTCTCTTTGATGTCTTCTACAATTTCTTTTGTTTTCACATCTATAGATGATGTTGCTACTATTACTTGTTTTTTTGATGCCCAAGAAATAGATCTTTTAATTAATTTGAATACATATGATATAAGTGATTTTTTGTCATTGTCATTATTTTTCCAATCAATACCTATATATCTTTGAACTTTTGTATTCTATGTTTTTTGATATAAGATTCAAAAGTTCAATGTATCTTTTATGTATCTTAGTATATGTTTGACAACTTGAAGATATGCTTATTTCTATAAATGTATAAATCAATTCAAGAATCCTATAACATACATTAAATTTGGTCTATAATTTAACAAGTAGATCATTTTACAGACTAATTTTTAATAATATGTTATATTTATACGTGTTAATTCTTCTCCCTTCTTTAGTTTTAATCTTTTAAATGTTGGTATAAAAACTAAATTATTATCAAATATATCAAATTTAGTAAATATATTTTTTGCATAAGCTCAATGTATCAAGAAGAGATCCTTATTGGTGGATATAAACTCAACACTCAAATAGAACTAGAACTTGCTCAAGTTGGACATATTAAATTTTTCTATTAGTTGCATCTTTAGCCACCTAATTTGAAAAGTATTACTATTTATAAGAAGTAAGTTATTTAAATAGAAAATGAGAATTATAATACCATCATTGTTTTGTTGATAATACAAATTATAATCTGTTTTTGTATGATCGATGCTATGATTGAATAGAAATATATCAATTTTTTCAAACCACGCATAGGGAGATTGCTTCAATTCATATAGAGATTTTTGTAACAGGCATACTTTATAAATTATATGAGGTTGGACTAAGCTCTTTGACTAAACCATATCGATTGGTTCATGAAAATCGCCTTTGGAAAGGCAATTTTTACATTGAAATAAATCATCTCCTAATTTGTTTTAGTTGCCAATATGAGTATTATTTTGATCTTATTCTATTTAAAAATAAAGGCAAAAACTTCAAAATAGTTGATTCTTTCTTATTGTTAAAAACGACAAATTACTAATTGTACCTTGAGCTTTGTTGGCTTACCATTAAAACCAAGTTTTGTTTTAAAAATCCATCAAGTTGTTATAAGGTGTAATCTTGTAGAAAGATCTACTAACTTTCAAGTTTTGTTTTGAGTGATAGAAATTTTTTCAAGCTAAATAGTAGCTTGCCGTGTAATAGACTTCATTGCTTGAAAATAAGATGAAGGATTAGCAATTGTAATGGATTCCTCAATGAGACCAAAAAAAAAATCATATCTAACTAAGTTAAATTTGAAAGTATAGTTAATATATCCTATATAATTATCTTTGAGCCGATTGAATAATTGACACTCTTGTAGAAAAAATAAATGAGTGCATTGATTATAGATAAAATAAATTGATTCTTTTGGTGATAATGGCTTTGAGTGACTTTTTGTATTTGGTGGAACTAATGTATTGGCTGAATTATCATTTTTTTATTTGATGATACTATGCCTAATATTGAAGGACCTATTGGCTTTGAAGGAATCAATTGCTCAATAAAGGTGTTCCAAGTGATTCCTTGCCATAGCTATTGTTTTTTCAAACTTGATATTTTTAAAAATTATCAAATTATGACAATTTGGAACCTAACATTTATATTCTTTAGTTTTTTTAATTGTATCCAACTAGTATTAACTTGTATGATTGAATGAACCATAAACTTTTACATGATTGATTGATAGCTTGTTTCTTTTGAAATGTTGATAAGATGTCATGAAGTTTGGATTAGCAAGTGTTGGAGATTGGTTCATCAAAAAAACAACTATATTTATTGCATCACTCTAAAGAGATTTTGGAATTCTTCTATGAATTGCGATGGAGCAAGTTTTCTTGATTACTATGCAATTTATCTTCTCTACAACCTCATTTTAAGAAGGTAATTTGGTATTTGTGAGTTTTCTTTGGATTTTGTTGTTGGTGAAAAATGTGTCCATTATATCATTGAAAAAAATTCTTATATTATCAAAGCACAAATATTTGACCTTAATTATTGTTTATTTTTTAATAAGTCTAATAAATTTATTTATTTATTTTGGCACATCAAATTTCTTTCAAAGAAAGTGCATTCATACCATCATATGGTAATCATCTACAATGACCATAAAATATTCAAAACCATCTAGAGATGGTAATGGCATAGGCTTGGCTAAGTTGATATGTAAGAGTACAAGAATCTTTGTAGTTCTAGTAAAGCTTTTCAATAGAAATTGTTCCTTGCTTCTCAAATTGACATGATGGATAAAATTTTGTAATTACTAGGATATACAAAATTCTTGTAGTTAATCTTATTGAAAGCATGTATAAGCTTTGGTTTTTCAAGTATGCCATGTAATGGTGCCATGTCCAAGCTAAGTATTTTAAAGATGACATTGTGAGATTGATTTTAAAAGAGTTGTCTTTTGTAATCAATTAATATAATCTTTTTTTAAAATTTCTAATCTCTTTAGCTACTGGCTTCTATAAATTCTTCTAAAATAATATGCATTTGGAGGCATCAAAATAGATAGTGTATTTACAATAAATGAGTGGTCCAATATAAAATAATTTTTTTTATATTCTAAAGATACACAAAACTTTAAGTATTTTTTTTATTATGTTAATAGCTATTTAAAAGTTTATAATATCTCTTCCAATAATAGAATGTATATAGGTATTTATTATTTTAATAGTTCTTTTGAAAGTATTATCTAAACTAGCAAAGTTTGTTTTTTTTCCAAAAACATACACGGTAGCTCTTGTATTATAATACCATCTAGAATCTTCTTCTTTTATGTCAAGTACTATAAGAGTTACTTCAAACATAGTTCTTTCTTTTATTTTAGCAATATCAATGTATTAATTTGTTAGATCTTCATTATGGTACCAAGTTTGTTTCTTGTTCTCTACTATATGTGCTTGAGCCTTCTTTTGTTATAGCATAATTTGTGGTATGCTTCTAACTTGCAAATGTCAAAAAGATACTTGAGACATATTTGAATTCAATGATTCATTTCTGTACAATAATTGTAAGATCTAGTTTCTTATGTTTCAAAAAATTTGGATCTTGCCATCTGCTAAGTTATTCAAGTATGTTGCTTCATAGGTTGACTATTGTATTTGTTTACTTAAAAATATAGTACTTCTAGATTGAAAGCTGATTTAGATGATCTAACTTATCTTTTATTTTTTTTAAGCATTAAGTTGGCTTGAAGTTGATCTAAGGTAGGAAACTTTTTTTGTAGTGGTATAGTATTGCATAATATGATAATAACAATTAGATACAACTTTCATGATAATTTGAATTAGATCATCATCTAATAGTGTGAGTCCTATTGCTACTTGTTTTCCGTTGATATCATAGATTTCAATGAATTATTACTTAAATGACTTATTTTCATTTATAGTGATCTAAACTAATCTATTTTGAAGCTCAAATTCGCAACTATCAAAAGTAATCTTGAATATAAACTTGAGAGTATTCCACATCTATTGAAGATGATTAAAAGTTGTAAGTTTTTCTAAAACTCCTAACTTAATTGACACATTCAAGATATATAATAATTGTCTTTTCTTATCATTTAATTATGGATCTTCTATCATATTATCTTTAGAGGAGTTAGTCTTTGTGTTGTCAAGCAAAAATCATATTTTTTCAAGGTTAGAAATATGAATCATCATATATTTCTATAAATAGAATTTTAAAAATTATATCAATCTAACCTCTTATCATATATATATATATATATATATATATTTATAGTAATAATTATCTAGATTATATGAATAGATATAAATATATAAAAATAAATTAATTAAATGATATCTTGTAAAAAAGCTTTCTAAAAGTTTTATGGATGCAATTTCACATTTATACATATCTATAGGTAATTGATAGGTTGAATATTTGGCCAATAAGTTAGCCACGTATTGCACAAGTTAA